TGTAACGGACAGATGGCAGCCGTGTGAGCGAGCGGTTTGCTGATGTTAACTTTGTGAACGGTGGGGTTATGGTATGGGCAGGCATAAGCTATTTGGGGAGTTTCTCCCATTCTTCTCTGCAGATCCTCTCAAGCTCTGTCAAGTTGGATGGGGAGCGTCGCTGCACAGCTATTTTCAGGTCTCTCCAGAGATGTTTGATTGGGTACAAGTCCGGGCTCTGGCTGGGTCACTCAAGGACATTCAGAGACCTTTCCCAAAGCCACTCATGCAATGTATTGGCTGTGTGCTTAGGGTCATTGTCCTGTTGAAAGGTGAACCTTTGCCCCAGTATGAGGTCCTGAGCGCTCTGGAGCAGGTTTTTATCAAGGATCTCTCTGTACTTTGCTTCATGAATCTTTCCCTCGATCCTGACTAGTCTCCCAGTCCCAGATGCTGAAAAACATCCCCACAGCATGATGCTGCCACCACCATGCTTCACTATAGGGACGGTGCCAGGTTTCCTCCAGACGTGACGCTTCGCATTCAGGCCAAAGAGTTCAATCTTAGTTTCATCAGACCAGAGAATCTTGTTTCTCATGGTCTGAGAGTCCTTTCAGTGCCTTCTGGCAAACTCCAAGCGGGCTGTCATGTGCCTTTCACTGAGGAGTGGCTTCCGTCTGGCCACTCTACCATAAAGGCCTGATTGGTGGTGCTGCAGAGATGGTTGTCCTTCTGGAAGGTTCTCCCATCTCCACAGAGGAACTCTGGAGCTATGTCAGAGTGACCTTCGGGTTCTTGGTCACCTCCCTGACCAAGGCCCTTCTCCCCGATTGCTCAGTTTGGCCTGACGGCCAGCTCTAGGAAGAGTCTTGGTGGTTCCAAACTTCTTTCATTTAAGAATGGTGGAGGCTACTGTGTTCTTGGGGTGCTTCAATGCTGCAGAAATGTTTTGTTACCCTTCCCCAGATCTGTGCTTCGACACAATCCTGTCTCGGAGCTCTACGGACAATTCCTTCGACCTCATTGCTTGGTTTTTGCTCTGACATCCACTATCAACTGTGTTCCTTTCCAAATCATGTCCAATCAATTGAATTTACCACAGGTGGACTCCAATCAAGTTGTAGAAATATCTCAAGGATGATCAATGGAAACAGGATGCACCTGAGCTCAATTTCGAGTCTCATAGCAAAGGGTCTGAATGGTTGGAATGTCAATTCTCATCAAATGAATAGGAAGTCTGACTGAAATTTGACATCATTTTGTGAATTTGTCATTTTTTTATTTGTTGATAAAATGCGGGACATGATTGTTTGGTTGCGGGACATGGGACAAAGGACCAAAATGAAGGACTGTCTCGCACAATCAGGGATGTGGTCACCCTAGCAGCATGGTGCATCATCCAGAAACATACATATATTTTCCATAAAATGTGTTAGAATTTTCTAACTAGTTTTCATTGGTAGGCCTAAGGCAGATAAAGCATTTTAATCAAAAGCAATCGCTTTTGCATGTGAAAACACATAATCCTACTCAGTGGCGACTTGTCATTCAGGGCAGGTGAGGCCTGTTTTGCATGTTATTTTGGCATTCATTCGTGTCACATATCAGTTTGCAATCACTGTAAAAGATATATACTGACTTAATAAAGCTGCATACAAACATGGTCTCTTTCTTGAGTAAGGCAGCTCCAAAATGCAGGTGATTCAGCCTAGCACAGTGCTTTCTGTGGTGGAGTGGCAGCCAGCGGAAAATACAGAGCGTATGCGTTGGTAATCTACTCTAATTGCTCCGTGATTGGCTCAGTGGTCTGTCACTCATGGGGACACTACGTCACCGCAGAATCTACAGGGAGAGCTAGGCAATTCAAACCCCATTGGGTGCTGCCATGGATTTACATTAGAAGTGCCCATCCAAGAAGGCGCAAGGTCATTGGCCACAGATAAAATGACGTCAAATCACGTTATATCTACCGTAGCTTTGATTGGACTGATCATGTCAACATCATACTTTCAAAATCTTAGCTAGCAAGCTAGACAAGCAGTCATCATCATGAATCATGTCGACAATCTACTGGCAAATCCTTTTCAATCCTTGTCATATGAAGAGAAATTATAGATAAAACGTATCGGTGCTCATCGGCCACAGGACATAAACATTACACAACAAGTCGGAAATCACAAATTCAACAATGAGTGGTTTGGAAGGAATCAGTGGCTAACTGCAAGAATTGCAAAGCAATCACTATTTTGCTTCCTCTGCCTGCTATTCGGTGGAGAGGGTGTATGGTCCAAGTCTGGGTTGAAGAATTTAAAACATCTGTCTCTTTTCCAAGCTTAAAAGGATCAACATTCACACGCAACACCATGGGCCAGAAAAGGTTGAATGCTGTCAATCCAGCATGACTTCTGCCGCTTTCAAAACAACTAGAAACTCGGAACTGGGAAATCTCAGACTTCAGTCAGTTCAAGACAACTGGGTACTCGGAATAAAAATGCGCTCCGACTGGGAAAATACATTTTGAAAGGTCATCCATCTCGGAATTCCAAGTCGGGAACTCTGGCCTCTTTCTAGAGCTCCAACCTGAAGATCACTGACGTCATGATTTGACTTTGTTTTTTTCTGAGTTCCCAGATGTCTTGAAAGCACCATAAATCCAGAGAATGACAGACTTTGATGCCAAAGTTTGATGACAAAATTTGCCCACAAGAAGGACTACCGCGCCACCTTCCTGTTCAAGTGAGCACAGCACAACAACGGTGAGTACAAAAATGTATTGTATGCTGCTGCATAAATGATTGAATATGCCAGGGAGATATGTATACGGTAGCTAAGAAAGTAATACTAAGTGTATGTTGTGTATTTATCTGTTAGTAGCCCATGTGCCTCACCCTAATAATTTCGTCCCTCTCTCCCTCAGAATTTAGCCTACTGTTCTGACTTGGTAATGCACATGTAGCCTACAGCCTGTTTTAGAGAAATGTCATCATCGAATATTGTAAGAGCTTTCATTGTCTGCTTAAATGCCCCCATTATTTATCATTCGGTTCTGACTTGGTGTACATAGAGAGAACTGTAAGAACGGCCCATGTTCTGAATTCTGTCGCTGTACATTTCAAAAGTGCTGAACAAATAGTTATATTGACTACGTCCGTCTTAGCTTGCTCATTGATGTCTTAATCGAAATTATGGCTTGCCTCTTATCCGCTCATCGTTCCCTTATGCCATAGTCTGTACATCTCAATTGTTATAGACCTATTGCTTATATAGGTCTATCTCATTAGTGCTGTATCTTATTCATCATTTTAGACAATGTTGGAATGATTTAATTGTTTTGCTTACTTTGTGTATTATAATTAGCTCATGTGATTTTCTCCACGAGGAGGGGATACTATATAATGTTGTTGGGTCTGTAACCATTTTTGCAGTGACAGTCTCTTCCCAAATCAAATATTTGTTTTCAACAAAAAGTTCAGTAATAGAGCCATGTAATTCCAGTTGATATTGCGAGGGTTGTTTTTTTTGCTCAATGCGCTGTCTGTGCGTCTGTATATTGTCTATAAAAGTGGATCCTCGTGATTGTATTTTCCTTCCCTTTTAGATCACATAGGCCTAATAAAATACTTCAAATGTTAGGCTAACCGCGTCTCTCTCTCTCTCTCGCTCTCTCTCTCTCTCTCTCTCTCTCTCTCTCTCTCTCTCTCTCTCTCTCTCTCTGTGTTGACTTAAAGAAGCATAAAGTTAAGGCCTCAACATCTTGCTGAATTTATGCGTTCTAAAATCTATCAGAATTTCTGTCAGTGTCCATTTTGAAAATGCTGAACAAATAGGCATACATTTATGCACTTGCTTATTCTTAGAGCTAAGTGTTAATTATATAAAAACAAACATTGTGAATTTACTGAACATTAATGTAATAATGTTTGTGCATGGTTCAAAAGTCAAAACTCATGTTGGTGTTTGTTATTATTGAAGGATAATGCTGTTCTTATCGACTTACACAAGGAGTCAGTAGAAACCACATTTGTTTATGAAAGCCAGCCATATCAGATAAACTTTTTTTTTAAAGGCAGTAAATGAGGCTGAATGAACTGTTTCGCTGCCAGACGAGGCTCCGCTAATAGCCAGGTGTAGCGGTGGTAAGGATTCACTCCATGGTGCTGAAAGGAAAGCTCTGTTGTCGGGACAGCTTTATGTATTGTTTAGTGTTGTGTTGTGTCTTTGCAGGCATGCATATCATTTTTGGGGGGGAATTTGCCCCACCAAGATTTACATGCTAAAATCGCCACTGATCCTACTCATTACTCCACGTGCTTAATTACATGACTTTGTTTTGAGCTGACTTCGCCACGGGCTTTGAACAGGGCACCTGTCTCACCGCTGGGAGGCAGCCTGGTTCCAAAACGAATGCTCTTTCACCCGGTGCAAAACACGCCTACCCGGGCCAGATTAATTAAATCCCCTCGATGGTAAGGTCGGCACCATTTTGATGTGCATAGCATACGACCACAGATAGAGCAATGAGACAGATATTTCACTGTATGTATAAATGTGAAGCATCCGGTTGCCGTTTCCACTCACTACCAAATATGGTAGTGAGAGGAAGCCCACTGGCGGGCAGTGAGAGAAGATGGAACGAGATGGATTCTGGCCTACATTCTGCACATTTTCTCATCTATTAAATATTTGATCTCAATACAGTTTTATGTTCCCAAAACTAGAATTTATTATGAACAAAGTGGACTAAGTTTTGTAGACTTTACCCTTTGCAAAAGTTTTTTAAAATCGCGCTGTTTAGGAGTGCAAAGGCGAATTGAGAACTTTCACACGTGCACTTCACTGAGTAGGCATTCCCTAACGGAAATATGCAGATGCTACTAGAACGCGCCAATAGGATATCGCTAGCGTGTGCTTGGCACTGCCCACCTCCTTGCTTGTTCTGCCCACAATGATTATTTTGTTCCCATTGGAAACGACAAGCTGTGGTCTATCTTGGTTTAGTTATAAACACCTTTGATACAACAGTGGTAGTTTACTGCCAGTCTTTTTTTAAGTGGTCCGAGACAGCCGCCATTGCTTCGGTGAATAGGTCTATGTTTGTTGCAGTTTATTCTGTGTACTCAATGTTGCGTTTTTCAGCTAACCCTTGCAAACGTACTGTGATGTTTTGGTGGGCTATTCGTCAACATTAGGCTACTGCAGATGATACAAAGTAGCTAAGTTGAAACGTTGAGTGCCATCTTATTTGAGTACAAAGGGAAAAAAAGAGCATCGGCCTCCAAGACGCATTTAGCTCGGAAATATCAACCCAGTTGTAGATTAAGTCACCGGTGATAGTTCGCTTTATTTGGTATTTTTTGAAGAAATTGATTTTTCACTGCCTTGACCATGTCGCTTCACGGTAAGCGCAAAGAAATTTACAAATACGAGGCGCCATGGACGGTATATGCAATGAATTGGAGTGTGCGACCAGACAAGCGCTTTCGTCTCGCTCTTGGCAGCTTTGTCGAGGAGTACAATAACAAGGTAACTAATTTTTTCCCCAAACATTCCAATATGAATTAAATTAGCCTACCATTAATCCTACTAGGGTAGACCGGGGAACACAGTAACAACAAAATACATCAAATTGGAAATAACGTAGAAACCTGTTATTCAATGTGCTAATACTTGGTTAGTCAACCTGGTCCCAGACCATTTCGCATTATTCTGTACGTAAATCAGAGACACTCCATTTAGTTTATGTTTCGTATGGTATGTATGAATTTGTGAATGTCCATCAGCCATTTTATATATGTTACGAATTACAATAAGTATTATAAGTTACGATTTTTCAAAACATACTTAATGTTACGAATATGCAAAACTGTATAATATGTTATGAATTCTAGCTAGGTGGCTAGCTGGCTAACGTTAGCTAACATGCTAAGTACTACATTTTACATTTTACATTTTAGTCATTTAGCAGACGCTCTTATCCAGAGCGACTTACAGTTAAGTGAATACATATTTATTTTATACTGGCCTCCCGTGGGAATAGAACCCACAACCCTGGCGTTGCAAACGCCATGCTCTATCAACTGAGCTACATCCCTGCCGGCCATTCCCTCCCCTACCCTGGACGACGCTGGGCCAATTGTGCGCCGCCCATGAGTCTCCCGGTCGCGGCCGGCTGCGACAGAGCCTGGATTCGAACCAGGATCTCTAGTGGCACAGTTAGCACTGTGATGCAGTGCCTTAGACCACTGCGCCACTCAGGAGGAATCAAAGAGGAATAGGCGAAGCATGAATATGTGAAGAATGAATATGTTGGCTACATGAAGAAACATTTAATGTAGGCAAAGACTTTAGGGTCCCCTAGGAAACACTACCATCATTTTCGTTCCTACCCTGTAACTCCTCCCTGGCATTTTCATTCGTTGTCATGTCAAACACTGTATTCAAAGTGCCTACTATTATTTATTCTTATTCTATAGTTACTAGGGGCTGGGCGACATGTCAAAAATGGAGGGTATAAAACATGTATATATACTGTATTTTATGTTTTTGAATAATACAAGTTCTAAATTTGCTTTATGAGTAGTGCGTGACCCAACGGTGGTAACGCATACATTCTAAGTGATTGAATGGGTCTTTGTCCATTCTGATTGTTTTACACTGTTCAATTCAACTTCAACCTAAAATAATTTCCTGCATTTCCATCAATTTCTGCATTTCCTGCACTCATTTGAAATAAATTTCACACTGCCACGTAGGGCTGCACGATATGGGCAAAAAAATAGGCCTTATTTTTAACCATATATTGCGATTTAGATCAAAACATGGAAATATAATGTTTATTCTTATTCTATAGTTAGAATATAAATAATAGTAGGCACTTTGAATACAGTGTTTGACATGACAACGAATGAAAATGCCAGGGAGGAGTTACAGGGTAGGAACGAAAATGATGGTAGTGTTTCCTAGGGGACCCTAAAGTCTTTGCCTACATTAAATGTTTCTTCATGTAGCCAACATATTCATTCTTCACATATTCATGCTTCGCCTATTCCTCTTTGATTTAGAAGATACTGTTGTACAAACAACATGCTTATTTAGGCCTACACCAGCACTGGTATCAGGCTGTATTAGCTTGCTACGTTTGATCTGACTCAGTACATTTTATTAGCTAGCTAGCCAGCTAACTAGCGATTAGCATTAGTGGCTAACACAATTTAGCTAAAACCTGCTAAGAAAAACAAACTAGTTGTTTGCAGATGTAAGAAACACTAATCGTGTAATTATAGAACACTTGTGGATTTATATTAAGAAGCAAACTGGAAACAACATCTTTGTCATCAACATTGTTGCATGTGCTGCATTAGCCATGCAGACTGAATGCAAGTGTCTCATGGTCAAGCAACAACAAACGGCATGGGGAGAGAGAGCGGAGAGGAATGACTCAAGTAGCGGTGTAAACTATAAAAATGGACGTTACACACGGCATATCACATTTAACAAACCAAATATTCAAATACCATTATAGAAGGTAAAGGAAAAACCCAAAATGGTCCGTGCATCAGTACCGGTATATAGTCAAATACGATATACCGCCCAGCCCTACTAAGTAGTTGCAAAGTAGCAAAACATTTCTAAGTAGTTGTCTGTGATGAGATTAGAACTCGCAATTTATGGGTTGCTAGATGTTCGCGTTATATGCCTACCATCCACCCCGACCAACCACCCTACTTTCGGTTTTGCCTTAAGTAACACCTGTCTTGTGTAACAATACCAAACTTAACATATCATATTAATTTGAGTGTCCCAGATTTATATTTACTATGTTACGTCTAGGCTATGAGACCAGGCTGGATTAGTGTATCTACATACCTAGGAAGTTTTGCTTAAATCCATAATTACCTTTGTTTCATTGATGACAAATGTTTTTTCTGGTCAAATTGTAAATATTCTTGCTGCGCCTCTTTCTTGATTATTGACCTGCGGAACGTTCCCCATGTATCTAATCATATCATTTTTGTCAGTAAGAAGAGGTGTTTTTATTGGTATAGGCTAGTTGATGAGAATTGTTGTATTTTTTCTCACGATTCGGATTAGACTCAGATTTGTAATTTGTTACAATTAACCCCTTGCCTAGCCAGCAGATCCGACCTGCTTGCTTACAGCTGCACTAGGGTCAGACAGGCTTCCTGTGTAGATTAAGACGCCGCGGCACCGGTGTGGGATATGGCTCGGAAAATGTACCTCAATCCAGGGATGAGAAATGCGTTGTACTCCGAATTTTACCATTTTCACCGAGAAGATTGAACGACTGCTAGTCTCAGGCTGTATATACCAATTAATTGTGTATTACAGCCTGATTAATTTGACTAGAACAATTGCAACAATATCCATCACTGTCAATAAAACAAAGGTGTCACTGTTGGGTAGTTCCAGTGAATAAAATTCAATACCATACTTATCCTCTTCAGAAAACCTTTTTGCTGTGATTTGACCACACATTTAAAATGTTAATATCTTATCCATAGCGATATACAGGAGCAATAAGGGTTAAGTGCCTTGCTCAAGGGCACATCGACAGGTTTTTCAACTAGTCGGCTCTGAGATTTGAACTAGCACCCTTTCAGTTACTGGCCAAACGCTCTTAACCGGTAGACTACCTGCCGCCCCATACTGTTGTTATTGTCTGTTTCCCCATAGGTTCAGATAGTTGGATTGGAGGAGGAGAGCTCAGAGTTTGTCTGCCGCAACACATTCGACCACCCTTACCCCACCACAAAGATTATGTGGATTCCCGACACCAAAGGGGTGTATCCTGACCTGCTGGCTACCAGTGGAGACTACCTGCGCATTTGGAGGGTAAGAAGCCAATTGTCTACTACTGCCAGACCAGTGCCTACCCTGAATATTGTAGCGACCTTAACCCAACATCTAGCGTCAACGTCAATAGGTTCCAATCAGAGAGGCCCATACATGTGAAGGGCTTGGTATAGAGAAGCCTGGGGAGACGCTCTCCTGAATGAAGGGGGTAGTATAGCGATCTGCTCACGTCACTTCCTGTTGAACACTTCCTGTTGAACGCAGAATGAGGGAGAGCTCAGTTTGTTGTTTTGAAAGTGTATTGGAAAGTTTCTTAGTAGCTAGCTAACTTTTTAGTTTGGATCCCGCAACGCATTTGGCATCAGTTGCTGGGACTGCTACCCTCTGTCCAGTGATCCTGCCGACCAAGGCCGGGTCTGAGGAGCTATTTGGCATAACAGCTAGCCTAGCTGCTAGCTAGCTGCCTATTAAGCTAGCAGGGTTTCTTGAGGGCTTGAATGCGACGCTGTTAGCCATTGTGGCTGGGACCACGTTTTGTCCCGGGTTTGTGGCTGTCTAGATCCCTGCTGTTTGTTGTGTTCAATCTTCCATGTGACCTGCCTTGTCTGGAACTGCGAGGAGTAACAGCGTAACCTACGTTGCTAGCTACCATGACAAAGACCAAAGCTGGCGGGAGTACTGTTGAGGACAGTGGTGTCTCTACCACAGGTGAAGGATATTTTAAACAAACAGAGTTCTACAAGCAGTTTTTACAACCACAAGAAAATAGCTTCAAGTGTTTTGTGCAAATAATAAAATAATGGACAACCTGACCAGAGGTCCAGGACCTGAAGAACAGTTTGCTGTTCTCCCAGGGTCAGCTCGATGAGGTGAAACAGGAGAATGGCAAAATGACAGCAATCTGTAAGTCATTGAGCGAGGACATCCGTTCTGTGTGTGAATCCATGATAACAATGACTGATAAATCAGATTATCTTGATGGACAATCAAGGTGGAACAACATAGTTGTGGACGGAATTGCAGAATCTACACATGAGACCTGGACGGAGTCTGAGGACAAAGTGAGGGAAATGACCTCTGAGAAATTAAAGATGAACCACCGGAAGATTGCGGTAGAGCGTGCCCGCAGGACTGGAAAAACCCCGTTACAGGCCCAGGCCGATAGTGATCAAGTTCCTGAGGTTCAAGGATAAGGTAGCGGTTCTGGAAAGAGCCAAGAACTTGAGAGGAACGTATATCTTCCTCAATGAGGACTATCCTGAAGCTGTGCGCCAGAAGAGGAAATAACTTATCCCAGCCATGAAAGCTGTCAGAGCGCGTGGGGACATTGCTTACATCCGCTATGACAGGCTCAATGTCCACCCTCCCTCCCAGAAGCCTGGAAGGAATGAGAGACCCAAGCCTATGGTTTCGTAGCTTCAACCCCGCAGCGCACACACACCAATTGATTAATGGACTGCTGAATGTATATTTTTTTCTCTTGCTTTGTTTGCTCTTTTCCATATTATGTCTCTGATAAGTTACCCAGGAAAGGGATGAAAATAGCCCATATTAATATATGTAGCCTTAGAATTAAGGTTAATGAAATCAATAACTTGCTAACATCAGATAACATTCATATATTAGCTATTTCTGAGACTCACTTAGATAATTCATTTGATGATACAGCAGTAGCAATACAAGGATGTAACATTTATAGAAGAGACAAAAATGCTTATGGGGGAGGTGTTGCTGTATATGTTCAGAGCCATATCCCTGTAATGCTTAGAGAAGATCTTATGTCAAGTGTTATTGAAGTGTTGTGGTTGCAGGTTCACTTGGTACATCTAAAGTATTTTCTTTTGGGGTGTTGCTATAGGCCACCAAGTGCTAACAGTTAGTATCTAAATAATACATGTGTGAAATGCTTGATAGTGTATGTGATGTTAACAGAGAGGTCTACTTTCTTGGGGACCTGAATATTGACTGGTTTTCATCAAGCTGTCCACTCAAGAGGAAGCTTCTCACTGTAACCAGTGCCTGTAATCTGGTTCAGGTTATTAATCAACCTACCAGGGTGTTTACAAAGACTACAGGAACAAGATCATCCACATGTATTGATCACATTTTTACTAATACTGTAGAATTTGTTCTAAAGCTGTATCCGTACCCATTGGATGCATTGATCACAATATTGTGGCTATATCCAGGAAAGCCAAAGTTCCAAAAGCTTATACAAAATAGTGTATAAGAGATCATACAAAAGATTTTGCTGAGACTCTTATGTGGATGTTACAACTATTTGTTGGTGTGATGTGATTAATAAGGAGCACTGCACTTGATGAATTTTTGAAATTGCTTCTTCCAATTATTGATAAACATGCACCTGTTAAGAAACTGACTGTTAGAACTGTTAAGGCTCCATGGATTGATGAGGAATTTTAAAATGGTATGGTTGAAAGAGATGGGGCAAAAGGAGAGGCTAATAAGTCTGGCTGCACATCTGACTGGCTGACTTAATGCAAATTGAGAAATTATGTGACTAAACTCAACAACAAAAAAGAAGAACCTGTATTATGAAGCCAAGATCAATGATATAAAGAATGATGGGAAAAACTTCATCTTTTATCGAATCAGATTGCTTATTCCTCACAAAACCATTTGATGTTGCCAGTTATGTTAATGATTACATCATTGGCAAAGTGGGAAAACGTAGGCAGGAAATGCCAACAACGAACAGTGAGCCATCGTATTCATGCATAAAAAAACAAATAATGAAAGAAAATCATTGTAAGTTAGAATTTTGTAAAGTTAGTGTGGGAGAGGTGGAAAAATTATTGTTAACGATCAATAATAACAAACCTCCTGGCATTGACAACTTAGATGGAAAGCTACTGAGGATGGTAGCTGACTCTATAGCCACTCCTATCTGTCATATCTTTAATTTGAGCCTAGAGGAAAGTATTTGTCCTCAGGCCTGGAGGGAAGCTGAAGTAATTCCGCTACCCAAGAGTGGTAAAGCGGCCTTTACTGGTTCTAACAGCAGACCTATAAGCTTGCTGCCAGCTCTAAGCAAACTGTTGGAAGGAATTGTGTTTGATCAAATACAATGCTATTTCTCTGTAAACAAATTAACAGACTTTCAGCATGCTTATAGAGAAGGGTACTCAACATGTACTGCACTGACACAAATGACTGATGATTGGTTGAAAGAAATTGATAATAAGAAGATTGTGGGAGTTGTACTTTTAGATTTCAGTGCAGCCTTTGATATTATTGACCATAACCTGTTGAAAAAACGTATGTGTTATGGCTTTTCAACCTCTGCCATATTGTGGATTCAGAGCTATCTATCTAATGGAACTCAAAGGGTTTTCTTTAATGGAAGCTTCTCTAATGTCAAACATGTAAAGTGTTGTGTACTGCAGGGCAGCTCTCTAGGCCCTCTACTCTTTTCTATTTTTGCCAATGACCTGCCACTGGCATTAAACAAAGCATGTGTGTTCATGTATGCTGATGATTCAACCATATACGCATCAGCAACCACAGCTAATGAAGTCACTGAAACCCTTAACAAAGAGTTGCAGTCTGTTTTGGAATGGGTGGCCAGTAATAAACTGGTCCTGAACATCTCTAAAACTAAGAGCATTGTATCTGGTTATGAATGGTGTGGCTGTTGAACAAGTTGAGGAGACTAAATTACTTGGTTTACGATCTAATGTAACGCTATCATGGTCAAAGCATATAGATTCAATGTTTGTAAAGATGGGGAGAGGTCTGTCCGTAATAAAGAGATGCTCTGCTTTAGAACAAATTCAAGGAGAGAGGGGGAGAGATTATTAATATTGCATGGGACTCCATTCTATCTCATTGCTCAAATGAACAGCAAACCTGGTTTAAAAAACAACAACAGATAAAGCAGCACCTCACGGCACAATGCCTCTCCCCTATTTGACGGAGATAGTCCTGAGGGGCGCAGTGGTCTAAGGCACTGCATCGCAGTGCTAGCTGTGCCACTAGAGATCCTGGTTCGAATCCAGGCTCTGTCGCAGCCGGCCGCGACCGGGAGACTCATGGGCAGCGCACAATTGGCCTAGCGTTATCCAGGGTAGGGGAGGGAATGGCCGGCAGGGATGTAGCTCAGTTGATAGAGCATGGCGTTTGTAACGCCAGGGTTGTGGGTTCGATTCCCACGGGGGACCAGTATGGGAAAAATATATATATATATATATATATGTATTCACTAACTGTAAGTCGCTCTGGATAAGAGCGTCTGCTAAATGACTAAAATGTAAATGTATTGATATGTAGGCTACGTGTACCTTTTTTTTATTTTTGTTGTTTTATCCTTGAGCTGTTCTTGTCTATTGCTGTTCTGTATTATGTCATGTTTTGTGTGGACCCCAGGAAGAGGAGCTGCTGCTTTTGCAACAGCTAATAGGGATCCTAATAAAATACCAAACCCAAAGCTCATAGCTGCATGTTGGAGTTATTTACAGGCTTGGCATATAAAGCAAAAAAGAGAAGGGGGGGGGGATGAAATGGTGACATGAAGTGGTTTCTGTGAGGAGTACAGGCAGGGAGTGTTACACCAGGTGGTGGGTTACCATAACAGGTAGGCCTACATTATATTCACTGTGTTTATGCACGTTTTTGGGGATATAAAATTAATCAATAGGATGCTAACTAGTTAAAAGATCACATTTGGGATCTGGCTAGTGATTAGCCCAATGGGGTTCCCCATCTGCATTTACCCTATGCTTCAGCCTATTTATTTATAGCCACTATGCCGCATCAGTTGGCCTACAGGTGATAATGCTTATTGCTAATGGCATACCTGATAATATAGACCAAGCATAGGCTATATGCATGGTCTAACATGTATAAATAATTTAAACAAATAATTTCCCCAATATGTTATTGGGTTCATTTCTGGAGATGGAAATTATATTTTAGATGGTGTCAGCATAATTAAATGTGCATTCATTTTGGAATAGAGTCACCAGAACTGAGCTTCGCAGTCTTTATACATAAAAATTATCCAGGGTGGACTTACAAATTATCTAGGGGAGAAGTTTACATACACTTAGGTTGGAGTCATTAAAACTCGTTTTCCAACCACTACAAATATCTTGTTAACAAACTAGTTTTGGCAAGTCGGTTAGGACATCTACTTTGTGCATGACACAAGTAATTTTTCCAACAATTGTTTACAGGCAGATTATTTCACTTATAATTCACTGTACCAGTGGGTCAGAAGTTTACATACACTAAGTTGACTGTGCCTTTTTAAACAGCTTGGAAAATTCCAGAAAATGTCATGGCTTTAGAAGCTTCTGATAGGCTAATTGACATAATTTCAGTCAATTGGAAGTGTACCTGTGGATGTATTTCAAGGCCTACCTTCAAACTCAGTGCCTCTTTGCTTGACATCATGGGAAAATCAAAAGAAATCAGCCAAGACCTCAGGAAAATGTTGTAGACCTCCACAACTCTGGTTCATCCTTGGGAGCAATTTCCAAATGCCTGAAGGTACCACGTTCATCTGTACAAACAATAGTACGCAAGTATAAACACCATGGGACCACGCAGCCGTCACACCGCTCAGGAAGGAGACACGTTCTGTCTCCTAGAGATGAACGTACTTTGGTGCGAAAAGTGCAAATCAATCCCAGAACAACAGCAAAGGACCTTGTGAAGATGCTGTAGGAAACAGGTACAAAAGTATCTATATCCACAGTAAAACGAGTCCTATATTGACATAACCTGAAAGGCCGCTCAGCAAGGAAGAAGCCACTGCTCCAAAACCGCCATAAAAAAGCCAGACTACGGTTTGCAACTGCACATGGGGACGAAGATCGTACTTTTTGGAGAAATGTCCTCTGGTCTGATGAAACAAAAATAGAACTTATTGGCCATAATGACCATCGTTATGTTTGGAGGAAAAAGGGGGTTGCTTGCAAGCCGAAGAACACCATCTCAACCGTGAAGCACAGGGGTGGCAGCATCATGCTGTGGGGGTGCTTTGCTGCAGGAGGGACTGGTGCACTTCACAAAATATATGGCATCATGTGGAAGGAAAATTATGTGGATATATTGAAGCAACATCTCAAGACATCAGTCAGGAAGTTAAAGCTTTGTTGCAAATGGGTCTTCCAAATGGACAATGACCCCAAGCATACTACCAAAGTTGTGGCAAAATGGCTTAAGGACAACAAAGTCAAGGTATTGGAGTGGCCATCACAAAGCCCTGACCTCAATCCTATAGAACATTTGTGGGCAGAATTAAAAAAGCGTGTGCGAGCAAGGAGGCCTACAAACCTGACTCAGTTACACCAGCTCTGTCAGGAGGAATGGGCCAAAATTCACCCAACTTATTGTGGAAGGCTACCCGAAACGTTTGACCCAAGTTAAACAATTTAAAGGCAATGCTACCAAATACTAATTGAGTGTATGTAAACTTCTGACCCACTGGGAATGTGATGAATGAAATAAATGCTAAAATAAATCATTCTCTCTACTATTATTCTGATATTTTACGTTCTTAAAATAAAGTGGTGATCCTAACTGACGTAAAACAGGGAAGTTTTACTAGGATTAAATTACAGGAATTGTGAAAAACGGAGTTTAAATGTATTTGGCTAAGGTGTACAGTCGTGGTCAAAAGTTGAGAATGACACAAATATTAATTTTCACAGTGTGCTGCCTCAGTTTTTATGATGGCAATTTGCATATACTCCAGAATGTCATGAAGAGTGATCAGATGAATTGCAATTAATTGCGAAGTCCCTCTTTGCCATGAAAATGAACTTAATCCCCCAAAAACATTTCCACTGCATTTCAGCCCTGCCACAAAAGGACCAGCTGACATGTCAGTGATTTCTCTCGTTAACACAGGTGAGTGTTGACGAGGACAAGGCTGGAGATCACTCTGTCATGCTGATTGAGTTAGAATAACAGACTGGAAGCTTTAAAAGGAGGGTGGTGCTTGAAATCATTGTTCTTCCTCTGTTAACCATGGTTACCTGCAAGGAAACACGTGCCGTCATCATTGCTTTGCACAAAAAGGGCTTCACAGGCAAGGATATTGCTGCTAGTAAGATTGCACCTAAATCAACAATTTATCGGATCATCAAGAACTTCAAGGAGAGCGGTTCAATTGTTGTGAAGAAGGCTTCAGGGCGCCCAAGAAAGTCCAGCAAGCGCCAGGACCGTCTCCTAAAGTTCATTCAGCTGCGGGATCGGGGCACCACCAGTGCAGAGCTTGCTCAGGAATGGCAGCAGGCAGGTGTGAGTGCATCTGCACGCACAGTGAGGCAAAGACTTTTGGAGGATGGCCTGATGTCAAGAAGGGCAGCGAAGAAGCCACTTCTCTCCAGGAAAAACATCAGGGACGGACTGATATTCTGCAAAAGGTACAGGGATTGGACTGCTGAGGACTGGGGTAAAGTCATTTTCTCTGATGAATCCCCTTTCCGATTGTTTGGGGCATCCGGAGAAAAGCTTGTCCGGAGAAGACAATGTTAGCGCTACCATCAGTCCTGTGTCATGCCAACAGTAAAGCATCCTGAGACCATTCATGTGTGGGGTTGTTTCTCAGCGAAGGGAGTGGGTTCACTCACAATTTTGCCTAAGAACACAGCCATGAATAAAAAATGGTACCAACACATCCTCCGAGAGCAACTTCTCCCAACCATCCAAGAACAGTTTGGTGACGAACAATGCCTTTTCCAGCATGATGGAGCACCTTGCCATAAGGCAAAAGTGATAACTAAGTGGCTTGGTGAACAAAACATCGACATTTTGGGTCCATGGCCAGGAATCTCCCCAGACCTTAATCCCATTGAGAACTTGTGGTTAATCCTCAAGAGGCGGGTGGACAAACAAAAACCCACATTCTGACAAAGTCCGAGCATTGATTATGCAAGAATGAGCTGCCATCAGTCAGGATGTGGCCCAGAAGTTAATTGACAGCATGCCAGGGCGGATTGCAGAGGTCTTGGAAAAAGAAGGGTCAACACTGCAAATATTGACTCTTTGCATAAACTTAATGTAATTGTCAATAAAAGCTTTGGCACTTATGGAATGCTTGTAATTATGCTTCAGTATACCATAGTAACATCTGACAAAAATATCTAAAAACACTGAAGCAGCAAATTTTGTGAAGACCAATACTCCAATATTCTCAACTTTTGACCACGACTGTATGTAAACTTCTGACTTCAACTGTATGTCTGCTTCATTTGATGAGGTGTTAAAAACAAAAACTTTTGTTGGTCCTGACAGGTGAGCGACACTGAGACTCGTCTGGAATGCCTGCTCAACAACAACAAAAACTCTGACTTCTGTGCACCGCTGACATCCTTTGACTGGAATGAGGTGGACCCTAACCTGCTGGGTGAGAATAACTTTTTATCCTTTTTTTTATGGACTACATTACCGGATTCTCTGGACGCCTCTTCCCGATAGCTAAACAACCGTACCTTCTAGGCTTGGGCGTTAAACCAGGGTATTTGGAAATAGCCACAGGATGTTTTTTCAATACCGTTGAAACTATTTCTTTGAAGTTTTTCAATACATTTTTATATTTGTAGCTACTTTTTAAGTACCGTAATTTTCGGACTATAAGCCGTGCCTTTTTTCCCATTTTTCGACCCTGCGGCTTATATAACGGTGCGGCTAATCTATGGATTTTTACAGCTAACGGCCACTAGAAGACGACCTAAATCTATGGATTTTACAGGTTACAGTCCACCAACTTTAACTCTATGGGCTCTATGACCGGTCCGCGCCCCCCACCTTTAAGCGGCGGGCTCCAGCAGGAAAAGCTGGAGGCCGGAAAAGAGTGAGACAGGTAGCGCGCAAAAGTAAAAGTGGAACCGAGAGTGGTACGAGAGACCGAACGAGAGACAGAACGAGAGCAAGACAGTTTGTCTCTTTCCCGACAATCCCCTCTGTGCACGAACCCTTACATATGGTAATTAAACATGAAAACACCTGCGGCTTATAGTCCAGTGCGGCTTATATATGTACACATCATTCAATATCATTCAATTTAGCTGCTGCGGCTTATACTCCGGTACGCCTTATAGTGCAGAAAATACGGTATACTGAACAAAAATATAAACGCAACATGCAACAATGTCAACGATTTGACAGAGTTACAGTTCGTATAAGGATATCAGTCAATTGAAATCAATTCATTAGGCCCTAATCTATGGATTTCACATATGCATCCGTTGGTCACAGATACCTTTAAAAAGAAAAAGTAAGGGCATGGATCAGAAAACCAATGCAGCGCGACACATGCTGTGCGATATCTCCTTCGCATAGAGTTGATCAGGCTGTTGAGCGTGGCCTGTGGAATGTGTCCCACTCCTTTTCAATGGCTGTGCGAAGTTGGTGGATATTGGCGGGAACTGGAACACGCTGTCATACACGTCAATCCAGAGCATCCCAAACATGCTCAATGGGTGACATGTCTGGTGAGTATGCAGGCCATGGAAGAACTGGGACATTTTCAGCTTCCAGGAATTGTGTATAGATCCTTGCGACATGGGGTCATGCATTATCATGCTGAAACATGAGGTGATGGCGGCGGATGAATGGCACAATGGGCCTCAGGATCTCGTCACAGTATCTCTGTGCGTTCAAATTCCCATAGATAAAATGCAATTTTGTTCGTTGTCCGTAGCTTATGCCTGCCGATACCATAACCCCACCGCCACCGTGGGGCACTCTGTTCACAACGTTGACACTGCTCGCCCACACAACGCCATACACATGGTCTGCGGTTGTGAGGCCGGTTGGACGTACAGCCAAATTCTCTAAAATGACATTGGAGGCAGCTTATGGTAGGGAAATGAACATTCAATTCTCTGGCAACAGCTCTGGTGGACATTCCTGCAGTCAGCATGCCAATTGCACGCTCCCTTAAAACTTGAGACATCTGTGGCATTGTGTTGTGTGACAAAACTGCACATTTTAGAGTGGCCTTTTATTGTCCCCATCACAATGTGCACCTGTGTAATGATCATGCTGTTTAATCAGCTTCTTGATATGCCACACCTGTCAGGTGGATTGATTATCTTGGCAAAGGAGAAATGCTTACTAACAGGGATGTAAACAAATTTGTTGCCAAAATTTGAGAGAAATAAGCATTTTGTACGTGTGGAAATTTTCGGGATCTTTTATTTCAGTTTCATGTTGCGTTTAATATTTTTGTTCAGTGTAAATACCTGCAGTCAACTTGTGCAATACGTTAGGAGATAAAGCAGATCGCGTTCTTCGTTTCACATTATGAAGCTTACCGTAGTTCCCCAGAACAGTTGACCCAGTCGTGTTTTTGTTAATAGCACAACGGGGGAAAGCGAGAGCAGTAGAGTCGAATTGTGTATTTGGTTTAATTTCCCAGTTAGATAAGTAATTAGCTGAATTAATGAGGAGATGGGACACACATAGTGTTAGCTTTCTGCCGTGTTTGAGAAGTCTAAGCTCTTTGGACGAGTTATCTGTACAGCTGTCACTGCTATCTTGATTTCCTTGCGTTTGTTCTCCTCTCTGTTCTCGGCCTCAGTCTGCTCCTCTCCCCTCCTCCTTCTCAGAGCAGGCATGCAGGCCATCGCCCTAGCAACTCCACACAGACACAGCGTGGTACACATGCTGCTCAAGAGCATGCTTCAAAACTTACCGTATTTTCCGCACTATAAGGCGCACCGGAGTATAAGCCGCAGCAGCTAAATTGAATGATATTGAATGATGTGTACATATATAAGCCGCACTGGACTATAAGCTGCAGGTGTTTTAATGTTTAATTACCATATGTAAGGGTTCGTGCACAGAGGGGATTGTCGGGAAAGAGATGGCTGCTTGAAAACTTCCTTTGCACAATCTGTCTTGCTCTCGTTCTGTCTCTCGTACCACTCTCGGTTCCACTTTTACTTTTGCGCGCTACCTGTCTCACTCTTTTCCGGCCTCCAGCTTCTCCTGCTGGAGCCCGCCGCTTAAAGGTGGGTGGCGCGGACCGGTCATAGAGCCCATAGAGTTAAAGTTGGTGGACTGTAACCTGTAAAATCCATAGATTTAGGAGGTCTTCTAGTGGCCGTTAGCTGTAAAAATCCATAGATTAGCCGCACCGTTATATAAGCCGCAGGGTCGAAAAATTGGAAAAAAGGCGCGGCTTATAGTCCGAAAATTACGGTAGTTCATTTGACAATGTCTCTCGTTCAGATTCGCTTGTAAATGTCCAAACTCTACTACCTATATATCTTTATGAGCTGGATTTCCTGTCTTTGCAATTCGTTTATTTTTGTTTGCGCTCGTTAGCATAGTTAGTTAGCATCCTCCATGGAAATACACTGTTACTTGTGCTAATTTTGTTAGCATTTTGGCAAAAGATGCCCAATGGGCTTCTACCGCCCCGTTGTGTACTAAAGCTGGTAATACCATAAATCCCGGGATGCGAGAGGACTGTATGACGATGTCAAAATCGGGTTACTGCCCAACCCTAGTACCTTCAACCGTAACGTTAGTGCATGTCCGTTCGGCTTCCCAGAGGTGGAACAGGCTACTCTGGCTCATTTCAATGATGTGATGTCTATCAAATTGTGCAGTGTTGCATGATCATTGAGAAGCGAAATAACAGTTGTATGTTATTTATTTTTACATGTTGTGTTAGGTTATGTTGTCATACGGGCTAAAGGCGTTTGGTTTCACCCCACATTTAGGATAAGGATTTTGCCCCCAAATTTTCTTTGCATCCTTTTGTTTGTGGTACTGCAATAGCCTTAGTTACAACAGACATAGGTTGTAGCTACACGTCGATCATGTTGTCCTAAATTAGCCTATAAGATCTATATATTTTTGGAATTTTCATTCAAACTGCTGCAGGGTTTTTATTTCAGCTGTAAAGAGATATGAGGCAAAGATGTACAGTGCATTCGGAAAGTATTCAGACCCCTTGACTTTTTCCACATTTTGTTACGTTATAGCCTTATTCTGAAATTGATTAAATTGTTTTTTTCCTCATCAATCTACACACAATACCCCATAATGACAAAGCAAAAACAGATTACATTTTTTTGGGTGCAAATGTATTAAAAATAAAATACTGAAATATCATATTTACCTAAGTATTCAGACCCTTTACTCAGTACTTTGTTGAAGCATCATTGGCAGCGATTACAGCCTCGAGTCTTCTTGGGTATGACGCTACAAGCTTGGCACTCCTGTATTTGGGTAGTTTCTCCCATTCTTCTCTGCAGATCCTCTCAAGATCTGTCAGGTTGGATGGGGAGCGTTGTTGCACAGCTATTTTCAGGTCTCTCCAGAGATGTTCGATCGGGGTTCAAGTCCGGACTCTGGGTGGGCCAATCAAGGACATTCAGAGACTTGTCCCGAAGCCACTCCTGCGTTGTCTTGGCTGTGTCCTGTTGGAAGGTGAACCTTCGCCCCAGTCTGAGGTCCTGAGCGCTCTGGAGCAGGTTTTGATCAAGGAGCTCTCTGTACTTTGCTCTGTTCATCTTTCCCTCGATCCTGACTAGTCTCCCTGCTGCTGACAAACATCCCCACAGCATGATGCTGCCACCACCATGCTTCAACGTAGGGATGGTGCCAGGTTTCTTCCAGACGTGACGCTTGGCATTCTAGCTAAAGAGTTCAATCTTGGTTTCATCAGACCAGAGAATCTTGTTTCTCATGGTCTGAGAGTTCTTTAGGTGCCTTTTGGCAAACTCTTGGTTCCAAACTTCTTCCATTTAAGATTGATTGAGGCCACGGTGTTCTTGGGGACCTTCAAGGCTACAGAAATTTTTTGGTACTCTTCTCCAGATGTGTGCCTCAACACAATCCTGTCTCGGAGCTCTACAGACAATTCCTTCGACCTCGGGGCTTGGTTTTTACTCTGACATGCACTGTCAACTGTGGGAACTTATACAGACAGGTGTGTGCCTTTCCAAATCATGTCCAATCAGTTGAATTTACCCTAGGTGGACTCCAAGTTGTAGAACCATCTCAGGGATTATCAATGGTGTCAGAGGAAGGCCCTCAAAATTGTCAAAGACTCCAGCCACCCTAGTCATAGACTGTTCTCTCTGCTACCGCACGGCAAGCGGTACCGGAGTGCCAAGTCTAGGTCCAAAAGACTTCTCAACAGCTTCTACCCCCAAGCCATAAGACTCCTGAACAGCTAATCATGGCTACCCGGACTATTTGCACTGCCCCCCCACCCCATCCTTTTTACGCTGCTGCTACTCTGTTAAGTATTTATGCATAGTCACTTTAACTCTACCCACATGTACATATTACCTCAACTACCTCAACTAGCCGGTGCCCCCGCACATTGACTATGCAACGGTACCCCCCTGTATATATAGCCTCCCTACTGTCACTTTATTTTACTGTATATATAGCCTCCCTACTGTCACTTTATTTTACTTCTGCTCTTTTTTTTCTCAACACTTTTTTGTTGTTGTTTTATTCTTACTTTTTTGTTTAAAATAAATGCACTGTTGGTTAAGGGCTGTAAGTAAGCATTTCACTGTAATGTCTGCACCTGTTGTATTCGGCGCATGTGACCAATAAAATTTGATTTGATTTGAAACAGGATGCACCTGAGCTCAATTTCGAGTCTCATAGCAAAGGGTCTGAATACTTAGGTAAATAAGGTATTTATGTTTTCAATTTCTAAAAACCTGTTTTTGCTTTGTCATTATGGGGTATTGTGTGTAGATTGAGGATTTTTTAAAAATTTAATTTTTTTTTTAGAATAAGGTTGTAATGTAACTGTGGAAAAAGTCAAGGGGTCTGAAAACGTTCCGAATGCGCTGTACATCCCGTCGATCAAATTGGCTGATAACACATGCCCAGAATGTGATATGGTTGTTTAGCTCTGGGGAAGAGGTGTCCTCGTGTGCGGAACGGGGCGGTTCGATCCGGTCACGCAGCCTCTGCCTTCTTTTTAACACTAAATGTCAATAGCAAAGAATTGAGTCTTGAGCAAGTATGAGCTCTTGTCGCCTCTTCACAAACAAGAGACACTAGCATATACCATTAGCTCTCCAGGTGTCATTCTTATACACCCATGGTTGGTCCCATTTTAAAAGAACATCTTATAAAGACTTTATATAGAGCATTCATAATGTCTTTATTAGCTCTACATCGATGCTTCACTTCACGTTTTATAAGCAAAGTCTTACTACATAAAGGGGGATATAAAAGGTTCTTACGTCTGTTGCTTTGCCAAATGCAGCATAACCCTTTTGCCACCCTTTTATATAGCATGACATTTGCTTATGAATGATACATAGGCCTTATAAAGGGTATAGGAAGGCTTCATTAAAGATGCGCTGTAAAGGTTTTGTATAATTTCAGCCAGTAGTTTTAGCTCTCAGGCCAAAACAGGTCCCATAAAATTCCCCTGCAATTCAAATGATATGTTACAAATTCCAATTCGTACAACATTTTATGAATTTGTAAGTACTTAAGATCCCATTGAATAAATCTCATGTTTCTTCTCTGTAGGTACCTCCAGTATTGACACCACCTGCACTATCTGGGGCCTGGAGACAGGTCAGGTACTGGGCAGGGTCAACCTGGTGTCTGGCCATGTCAAGACTCAGCTCATCGCCCATGACAAAGAGGTAAAGGCACTGCAGGGGTTAGGCCAGAGCTGAAATAAACAAAGTTCCAATATCCACACTTTCATACTAAGTATGTGGTGATGTATTGGTCATGCATGCTACGTAGTATGCTAGTGTGGATATTGGGCATATTCAATTAAATGGTATAGCAATGTCCCAAGTGATCAATGAAATTGCCTCCACCCATTGTAAGTCGTCGTATTTTGCCATACTTGCCTAAAGTATCTGTCAAGTCAATTGACTATGAACAAACCATATTTTCTATCGAAACAGTAGATGTCACTTGTTATTTCACCAAATGTCTGTCCTGTGTGTGTCCTTGTCACAGGTCTATGACATCGCATTTAGCCGAGCCGGTGGTGGCCGGGACATGTTTGCGTCGGTGGGGGCAGACGGCTCTGTGCGCATGTTTGACTTGCGCCACCTGGAGCACAGCACCATCATCTACGAGGACCCCCAGCACCACCCGCTGCTCCGCCTCTGCTGGAACAAACAAGACCCCAACTACCTGGCCACCATGGCCATGGATGGAATGGAGGTCTGCTCTGTCTGTGTCTGTTTGCCTGTCTGTCTGCATGTCTGTCCCATCCTTCATTGTACTGTATGTGATTACGTTCATGTGATTGATTAATGCTATAGCAATGCAAATAATGTGTTTGGTTATCTGGCTAAAATACTGGAACAGTAGAAATCCGTCAATTGTGCTAAACAAAAATTCTAGTGGTCTATGATTATATGTATTCTACCTTAGCATGTGCATTATTCTCTATGTCCGTCCCAGGTGGTGATCTTGGACGTCCGTGTGCCATGCACCCCAGTGGCCAGACTCAACAACCACCGTGCCTGTGTCAACGGCATCGCCTGGGCGCCCCACTCCTCCTGCCACATCTGTACAGCAGGTATGCTCTCTGTTTCCTCCCGCTAAGCTTATACAGTATTAACCATGTGCGTATGTGCCAACCAGCCATGTGCTAACCTTCCAAGTAATTTTTTTTACATATTTGATTCCTTAGTTTTTGAAGTAGTATTTGGAAAATGACAAGGACTTTGGGATGATTTGGACTTAAAATTAAAACATGATAATATCGGGTGCAGTTACTTAAATTGGTTTTTGGTTGTAAAATGCTAAATTTGGCGGATGGTGGCAGTGGCTAGGTAAACAAACTCAAAGTTTGCAATGCACTCCTTCAAGGTATGGAAACATATGTCATTTTGTAATTGGGGTGAGCTATCTCTTAAATGTACATTATTGATTGATTAATCCATAAGATTCAGTTGACAAAAACATCAAAGATATTCTCAGAAAATATGAATATAGATGAAATAGCACATCTGCACCGCTGGTGAGATTTTATCTTTTATAAATCGTTGTTCCATAACATCCCCTTGGAATTATTTAGTAAAACTAGAGCACAGGGCTGAAAATAAATACCATTGATTATCAAATCTGACCTCTAGTAGCCCAGAACACAAGCATTGATTTCGGTCTACAATACACTAACTACTGTTCCCTTTCCTGTCCGGAAAGTAGCGGATGACCATCAGGCGCTGATCTGGGACATCCAGCAGATGCCCAGGGCCATCGAGGACCCCATCCTGGCCTACACAGCCGAAGGCGAGATCAATAACGTCCAGTGGGCATCCACCCAGCCTGACTGGATTGCAATCTGCTACAACAACTGCCTAGAGATTCTCCGCGTCTGACATGACCTGGGCTCAGCTCTTAGCGGGACAGTCTGAGGTGATCCTCGGAATCTGATCTGAGCTCAGTGTTGATGTCCTATTTATACAGTTGGTAAACCGAGAGGGATTGTATAACTCCAGCCCGCTCAAGAACGGACATGGCAACTTCATTTTTTAAAAATCTGACGTCAACAGGGACTCCTGTTCATGAAGGACTGAACCGTGTGATAATGATACTGGATTGTGTGTGTGTTATTGCACTTTTCATCTGAGGATAATGTTATAGATGCCCTTTACATTCAAAGGGGGGCGACAACGTTACCCACAGACAATGTTTACACCCTCCTGAGTAATTTACGGAAATGCTCAAGACAATTTGGTGTACATACCACACATGTTGCACTCGCACTCCCCCTGGCTGCCTCTCAATTTATAATTTTCTCAGCAGTTGTCATTTTTGACAGACATGTTTGAATAAGATGCGGTTCATTGTGAGATGATGTTTGTGAAGGAAAAACAAGAACACAAATCAAGAGTAGCCAAAAGACTCAACTTGTCACAATTATACACACACTTACCAGGGCGCTTTGTTTAAATCTGAGACTTTTCAGTATGTTGTTTGATAAACGAATAGGCTTTAACATGTGAATGGATCTATTTCTTTAAAATGGGTCTTTGTTAGAATCAGCAGTTGCTACATCAATTTTTTGACTTATAAATTAATGATACGTACCCATTTGATTCTTGAAGAATATAACCTATAAATGCTTCTTGAGCTTAGTTCAACTGTCGTTCCAAATCAGAACCCAAAATATAAACTCCAGTGTTTGTAAACAAAGTAAATGTAAACAACACTATATATCCTCAAAACATGGTTAAAACTATAGTTTTGATATCATATATGGTCAGTACTTGCATCCATAGCTGTCTATGAATTTGAGTGGTTAGATTTCTCCAGCCCCATCCCTCAGCTTTTTACTGAAACAGGGAGTCTCTTTGTTATTGTTTCTACTGCTGATTGCCGCTTTAAGCTCTTGTTTTAAATGCAGTGTAATGTGCGTAGTTATTAGTTGAGTGGCCATTGTAATGTACAATATCTTTATTCCCTTAACAACCCAATATGTCTGAATCACATAGTTTCAGATCATATGGTTATATTTAAAACGGGACTGAATTCCACTATTCAGGTATTCAATTGTTTGTTTTTATCTTCACATTTAAAATTTTGCCATTGAACATAAAGTGACAATTGTGATATGAAAAACATATTTATTTAATACAAACTACAGTAAATATCTGCATTGAACTTATTCATCTACTACTACAATACAGCTTTCCTATTTGCCTTACTTGGTTCTGCCTGTAAAATGTTAAGAATTATCTTAGTGTTAAAGGTAACCCTAAACACTTTGTGTATAAACTAGATTAGGTAAATGTACACTACCGGTCAAAAGTTTTAGAACACCTACTCATTCAATGGTTTTTCTTTATTTTTACTATTTTCTACATTGTAGAATAATAGTGAAGACATCAAAACTATGAAATAACACATGGAATCATGTAGTAACCAAAAACGTGTTAAACAAATCTAAATATATTTTATATTTGAGATTCTTCAAATAGCCACCCTTTGCCTTGATGACCGCTTTGGACACTCTTGGCATTCTCTCAACCTGCTTCATGAAGTAGTCACCTGGAATGCATTTCAATTAACAGGTGTACCTTCTTAAAAGTTAATTTGTGGAATTTCTTTCCTCCTTGATGCATTTGAGCCAATCAGTTGTGTTGTGACAAGGTAGGGGGGGTATACAGAAGATAGCCCTATTTGGTATAAGACCTAGTCCATATTATGGCAAGAACAGCTCAAATAAGCAAAGAGAAATGACAGTCCATTACTTTAGGACATGAAGGTCAGTCAATACAGAACATTTCAAGAACTTTTAAAGTTTCTGCAAGTGTAGTTGCAAAAACCATCAAGCGCTATGATGAAACTGGCTCTCATGAGGACCGCCACAGGAATGGAAGACCCAGAGTTACCTCTGCTACAGAGGATAAGTTCATTAGAGTTACCAGCCTCAGAAATTGCAGCCCAAATAAATGCTTCACAAAGTTCAAATAACACACATCTCAACATCAACTGTTCAGAGGAGACTGTGATTTTAGGCCTTCATGGTTGAATTGCTGCAAAGAAACCACTACTAAAAAGACACCAATAAGAAGAAGAGACTTGCTTGGGCCAAGAAACATGAGCAATGGACATTAGACCGGTGGAAATGTGTCCTTTGGTCTGATGAGTCCAAACTGGAGATTTTTGGTTCCAATTTGGATGAATGGATGATCTCCGCATGTGTATTTCCTACCGTAAAGCATGGAGGAAGAGGTTTTATGGTGTGGGGGTACTTTGCTGGTGACCCTGTTTGTGATTTATTTAGAATTAAAGGCACACTTAACAAGCATGGTTACCACAGCATTCTGCAGCGATACGCCATCCCATCTGGTTTGGGCTTAGTGGGACTATTATTTGTTTTTCAACAGGACAATAACCCAACACACCTCCAGGCTGTGTAAGGGCTATTTTACCAAGAAGGAGAGGGATGGAGTGCTGAATCAGATGACCTGGCCTCCACAATCCTCCGACCTCAACCAAATTGAGATGGTTTTGGATGAGTCGGACCGCAGAGGGAAGGAAAAGCAGCCAACAAGTGCTCAGCATATGTGGGAACTCCTTCAAGACTGTTGGAAAAGCATTCCAGGTGAAGCTGGTTGAGAGAATGCCAAGCGTGTGCAAAGCTGTCATCAAGGCAAAGGGTGGCTATTTGAAGAATGTCAAATATAAAATATATATTTGTTTAACACTTTTTTTGGTTACTATATGATTCCGTATGTGTTATTTCATAGTTTTGATGTCTTCACTATTATTCTACAATGTAGAAAACAGTAAAAAATTTAAGAAAAACCCTTGAATGAGTAGGTGTTCTAAAACTTTTTACCGGTAGTGTGTATGAATTATTGTAATGTACAGAGAGGAAATATTGTATTGTCGAGGTGCAAATGTCATCTCAACAAGGGGTTCTACTTTTTACATTTTACTTTAAGCCTCGGTCGTAAGGGCTACATAACACTGTCATGATGACATAAACAGCCATGACAGCTGGTGTCACCTTATGGCAACCAACTTAAAAAATGTCATGACACACACCATTAATAAGCTTAGTCAGTGGTGGTGGAGGGGAATAGGGGAGGGTTGTCCCCAGAAATTGTTGCTTTGTTTTTATTATTATTATTATTATTATTATTGGGCACGGGAGGCTAGTGTGTTTTTTTTTCCTGTTTACATTCGCCCTTTTGCAGCTTTTACTATATAATTTCTTCCATCCTAGCCAGATTTCCTCAACTGCTTGCTTGCGTGCAATAAAACTTCACAATACCGTGCAGAGCGTTCGATTTGGCTGCTCTGGGTCAAGGAGACCCCCAGCTCTGCTAAAACCATTGACAACTAAGCCTACGTGCCGTTTTAAGGGATTTTAAAATAAATATTAACTAGACTGAACAAAAATAAACGTAACATGCAACAATTTCAAAGATTTTACTGAGTTACACTTCATATCAGGTAATCAGTCAATTTAAATTAATTAATTAGGCCCTATTACATCTGAATCACAGTTTTAGATCATATGGTTATATTTAAAATGTGACTGAATTCCACTATTCAGGTATTCAATTGTTTGTTTTTATCTTCACATTTTAAATTTTGCCATTGAACATAGTGACAATTGTGATATGAAAAACATCTTTATTTAATACAAACTACAGTAAATATCTGCATTGAACATATTCATCCACTATTACAATACAGCTTTCCTATTTGTCTTACTTGGTTCTGCCTGTAAAATATTAAGCATAATCTTAGTGCTAAAGGTAACCCTAAACACTGTGTATAAACTAGATTAGGTAAATGTACACTACCGGTCAAAAGTTTTAGAACACCTACTCATTGAAGGGTTTTTCTTTTATTTTTACTATTTTCTACATTGTAGAATAATAGTGAAGACATCAACTATGAAATAACACGTATGGAATCATGTAGTATTGTTGGTCACAGATGACAAAAAAAAAAAAAAAGTAGGGTTGTGGATCAGAAAACCAATCAGTATCTGGTGTGACCACTATGTGCCTCATGCAGCACAACATCTCCTTCGCAGAGTTGTGGCCTGTGGAATGCAGTCCCACTCCTCTTCAATGGCTGTGCGAAGTTGCTGGATATTGGCAGGATTGTCCAGAGCATCCCAAACATGCTCAATGGGTGACATGTCTGGTGAGTATGCAGGCCATGGAAGAACTGGGACATTTTCTGCTTCCAGTAATTGTGTACAGATCCTTGCGACATGGGGCTGCGCATTATCATGTTGAAATATGAGGTGATGGCGGCGTATAAATGGGCCTCAGGATTTCGTCACGGTATCTCTGTGCATTCAAATTGCCATCAATAAAATGCAATTGTATTCATTGTCAACAGCTTATGCCTGCCCATACCATAACCCCACCACGGGGCACTCTTCACAACGTTGACATCAGCAAACCGCTCACCCACACAACGCCATAGATGCGGTCTGCCATCTGCCCGGTACAGTTGAAACCAGGATTAATCCGTGAAGAGCACTTTTCTCCAGCGTGCCAGTGGCCATCGAAGGTGAACATTTGCCCACTGAAGTCGGTTACGATGCAGTTAGGTCAAGACCCTAGTGAGGACGAAGAGCACACATATGAGCTTCCCTTAGACTGTTTCTGACAGTTTGTGCAGAAATCCTTTGGTTGTGCAAACCCACAGTTTCATCAGCTGTCCGGGTGGCTGGTTTTAGACAATCCCGCATGTAAAGAAGCGGGATGTGGAGGTCCTGGGCTGGTGTGGTTACACGTGGTCTGCGGTTGTGAGGCCGGTTGGACGTACTGCCAAATTCTCTAAAACGACGTTGGAGGCGGCTTTTGGTAGAGAAATTAAAATAAAATTTTATGGCAACAGC